GCCCGGCCAAAGCTTGACTTTCTGCTCCACAGTATTCAACTTGCATAGTCCTGTGGGGTGTAACGTTTCAAATGCTGTTTGTAAATAAAATTTCATTCCCTCCTGGGATTTCTGTTGATTAAAATTAGCTCATGTGTGTGAACTATTTGGAATAGCCTTGAAAATATCCACCCACTCACCCATTCATCAACCCATCCTTCTACCCATCCATCCATCCATCCATCCATCCACTCACTCTCTCCCTCTCTTTTCCTTCCTCCTTCCCTCTACCTCCCTTGTTACATCTATCCATTCATTCTGCCTCCCCCTTAGTCTACCTACACAAATTAGAGTTGCAAGTGTGAGTTGCTCCGATGACTCCGATGGCTCCGATGGCTCTGATGGCTCCGATGGCTTGACGCTCAGTATGATGACCTGAATTTAATCCTTGGAATTTGCATGGAAAGAGAACAGAAGGCAAGAACCAGCTCTTACACATTCTCTTCTGACCCCTCTGACCTTCACACACATGCAGTAGCACACACAGTGTGTCGGGAGCACAGACAAAAGTTTTAAGATTAAAAAATGCAAATATTGAGCTGGAGGCTCAGCAATTAAGAGCACTGGCTGCTCTTTTAGAGGACTCAGGTTTGAGTCCCAGAACCTATGTGGCATGCCATTCATAACCATCTGTAACTACAGTCCCAGGAGATCCAACCTCCTCTCCTGGCTTCTACCAGTACTGCACAGATATGGTTCTCAGACACACTTCAGGCAAATGTTCACATACATAAGATATAACAAAATAACCCACAAATGAACTATCCTGATTTCATTTTCAGTTCACTCTTCCCTATAAGATGCCATCCTCTTTGCCAGACAGCAGACATATAGAGTCCCCTACCAACACCCTGGCAAATGTGACAGATGCTAACTGCATGGGCACTCAGAGACATTGATATATGGTCCAAAGAAGACAGTGTTGGAAGGGCTGGTGTATAGGGTCACACGATAGAGGAGAGGCTTCCCTTGAAGGTGACAAGATGGGTGTGCCCTTCTTGGAAGCAGCTAGCCCTCCAGTTCCTTGGCTCCACGGGACAACAAGGAAAGAGAGACAGGCTAGCTGTTGCTGTCTGGGGTGGGATCTGAAGCAACAGGGAAGGGTTTCCAAAGCTAATCCAGGAAGGAGGACACAAGGCAGTAGGTGCCTCTGTCCAAGTTTAAAGACAGGGCTTTTCTGTTTAGCCCAGGCTATCCCAGACCTCTCAATCTTCTGGCCTCAGCCTCCCTGGCTACTGAGGTGACAAGCATGCTTAACCATGCCTGACCACTCACAGGTGAGTGGTATTCTGCATCTGGGGGTGATTGTGACATGTGTCACAAATTGGTATCTGGGCATGTCACCTAGTCCCCTGCCATGAAGCACTTCAAACACACAAGAATACTTTTCTATCATAGATAAGGCTCAGAGGAGACATATGATTTACCCAAGAACACACAGCCTGGGCTTCCTGTCAGACCTATTCTCCCTGAGAGCTCTTTGGACTCCCTTGAGACCGGTGGAACCTGGGCCCCCTTCTAGGTCCCTTTTGTCTATTTTCAAACCTAGATATTCTTTAGCAGTGTCCCCTGGGAGGATTCCAGTCTTAAGAGATGGAGGTGGTTCTGTGAACCTATGATTTTTTTGTTTGTTTTTGAGACAGGGTCTCTCTGTGTGCCCTGGATGTCCTGAAACTCTCTCTGTAAACTAGGCTGGCTTCAAACTCACAGAGATCCACCTGTCTCAGCTTCCCGAATGCTGGGATTAAAGGAGTGTGCCACCACTTCAGACTTAAATTTATAATATTATCAGTAAACTTGGGCCTGAGGGAAACATGTGTTTTATCCCCCTAAAGTTAAGATAGTCACTCAAAGAGCTTCTGAGGCAGGGGGATGAGAGGAACACCTGTACTGATGGCTCTATATGTCTTTTCCCCACATAGAGTGTTCCTCTGCTATAAAATCGAAGGTTATCCCAGAATGCAGGAGATTGAGGCAGGAGGATAAGGAGTTCAAGGACACCCTTAGCTACACGGTGAGTTCATAGCCAGCCTAGGCTACATGAGCTTGTCTCAAAAAAAGAAAGAAAGAAAGAAAGAAAGAAAGAAAGAAAGAAAGAAAGAAAGGAAGGAAGGAAGGAAGGAAGAAAAAAGAGGCCGGGCAGTGGTGGCGCACACCTTTAATCTCAGCACTTGGGAGGCAGAGGCAGGCGGATTTCTGAGTTCGAGGCCAGCCTGGTCTACAGAGTGAGTTCCAGGACAGCCAGGGCTACACAGAGAAACCCTGTCTCAAAAAACAAACAAGCAAACAAACAAACAAAAAAAAAGAAATGAAAAAGAGAAGAGAAAAAAGAAAAAGAGAGAAAGAACGAAAGAAAGAGATATAGAAATATCACCATGAATAGAAATATCACCATGAAGCCATATATGCTTGCACAGGTGTGACCTAGGCTGGCTGAGAACTCACTATATAGCACTGGCTATCCTCAAAATTACAGCAATAGCAACCCTTCTGTATTAACCTCTAAGGTGCTAGATGAATAGTCATGATTCACTATACAAAGCTTTTTTTTTTTTTTTTTGGTTTTTCGAGACAGGGTTTCTCTGTGTACCTGGCTGCCTGGAACTCACTCTGTAGACCAGGCTGGCCTCGAACTCAGAAATCTGCCTGCCTCTGCCTCCCAAGTGCTGGGATTAAAGGCGTGTGCCACCGCTGCCCCGCTATACAAAGCTTTTAATTTTTTTTTGTTTTTGCAAAGCCATCTATGCTCCCATGCAGAGGAATGTTCCCAGTGGACTCAGCATCAGGGTTAATCTGGGCCAGGTCTCTCATAGTAGGCCATTGGGCTCTACTCCAGCTTGCTTACATTTTCTCAGCATCAAAGGTCCCTGTGGACATTTGTGACAGTCTGGAAACTGAGATACACAAGAACACACTGGAGGCCAGAAAGCAAGGTCTCAAAAATTCTCCTGAAGGGCCATCTACGAGGTCAAATAAAAAAAAATCAAAGGTAATAAATGGGGAGTTAGACTCTGGTTTGCAACCCAAAGCAACCAGTAGAGGGCGCTAGCGGCAGGCACAAGGCAGGAGTCAGCAGATCGTGCAGATCTCAGGATGGACCTCCAACCAAACTACAGCCTTTGCATTCAGTTTCACTATTTGAAAATCGTGGGTCATGTGGCAAGAAGATGTCACAGAGATCTGACAGGGTGAGGTACACCTGCATCAAACCCTCAAATTGACTTTTACTCTTCTGTCTCCTCCTTCCTATCTCGTCCTCCTCTCTTCCATATCCCCTTTCTTTCTTTCCTTCCTTCTGTTTGAAACAGGGTTTCAGGCTGGCCCTAAACTCTTCATGTAGCTGAGGATGACCTCGAACTCCTGGTCTAGATGGCTCAAGTCTTAGTTTTAAAATAGGAGATCTGTTTTCTTGGGCCTGGAATGGTTATGGACTCCTTTTATCGAAGCGTGTGGGTTACTTTCACACATACAACACACTACAGAATAATACATAAGCCGGGTAGTGGTAATGCACCCCTTTGATCTCAGTGCTCAGGAGGCAAAGGCAAGTAGATCTCTTGAGTTTCAGGACGGCCTGGGCTACATAGAGAAACCCTGTCTCATAAAAAAAGAGTGACTTATTTATCTTTTTTGTTTGTTTTTGATATTTCAAGAAGAGGTTACTTTGTGTAGCCTTGGCTGTCTTGGAACTTGCTCTGTAGACCAGAAAAGTCTCAAACTCAGAGATCTGTCTTTTCTGCCTTCTGAGTGTTAGGGTTAAAGGTGTGTGCTACCATGACTCATTTATTTATCAGGTGTGTGTGTGTGTGTGTGTGTGTGTGTGTGTGTGTGTGTGTACCCCACATGCATGCAAGTATCTGTGGAAGCCCAGAAAGGGTGTCAGATCCTGTGGAGGTTTTGACTGAGAATGGTTCCAACAGGCTCATCAGTTTGAATTCTTGGTCCCCAGTTGGTAGACTGGGAAAGATTAGGGAGTATAGTCTTGTTGAAAGAGGTGTGTTGCCGGGTAGTGGTGGCGCATGCCTTTAATCCCAGCACTTGGGAGGCAGAGGCAGGCAGATTTTTGAGTTCAAGAGTTCGAGGCCAGCCTGGTCTACAGAGTGAGTTCCAGGACAGCCAGGGCTACACAGAGAAGCCCTGTCTCGAAAAATCAAACAAACAAAC